CCTCCATCGTGAGGGGTGGCGTCATTGTCATTGAGTCCCTTAATTTGTTACCAACTGGTAGACCCCGTTTGTATTGTGCGATGGCGAGATTTGTAGGGCAATCCCCAATCTAGTTGAAAGTCTCCCAATATCGATTGTTGTAAGACCTCAATGTCTCCTTTTCACCCATGTCAATGAAGAGTAGTTGGTCGATCTCTACTGGCGTCTTAGTATTCGTTTTGAATCTAGTCACGAACGCTTCCACCAACTGTGCCCATGAGGCTATGCTACCCTTTGGGCAGCCTTTCGAACCAGGTCAAACCTAGGTCGCTAAGGCTGGATGGAAACATGATGCACATTAAAGTTTCGTTTCGTTGGTACACGGCCATAACCTGGCGAAAGTGGCTTAAGTGCATGTAGGGGTCTGACTTCCCCTCATAAGTGGTGAATTTGGGTTGGTGGAAGCCTGAGGGTAGTGGTGCATTCTCAATCGCCGGAACGAACGGCGAGCTCTGTAACCTTGCTAATACTTTGTCTGCTGGTTTGTAAGCAAGGTGCGGCATTGACATCCTTACCTCGACACTTCCATGTGTCCTAGGGGCCAACCGCTGTAGGGCTGAAACTCTGCGTGGGTCGTGAGCCCTGGTATCCTCCTTCCATCGGGCCTTTTCCTCGAGCACTGTTCGCAGGTCAGATGATCTAAGCAACTCCGTGTGCCAAGACGTCGTTTAGTGCGTGTGCGAGGGCCGATAGTTGCTTCCTTCCGTATACGACCTTTCAGTTCTCGTTCTCTCGAACCTGGAGTAACGAGTCCTGGAAGTCCTCGACTGAGTGTCACCTGTCCTTAGGATTTTACTTTCAGCTTGGGATGGCGTGGCTTGTTTGCCACGATCTTCCGAATGGTGAAAGGGAGTGTTGCCTTTGTGCCTCTCTTTAGTTGCTACTCATTTGCCTTTTATCTGGCATTTCATCATTTCCATGTCTGCCACCATCCTTCGTATCAACTCGTCTTGCTCCCTTACGCGATCCTCCAGAACTTAAGGGTCCATCCTGCACCTCTGCCTTTCAGGACTTTAAGAGCAACGGGGACTGGCGCCCCGTCTCTCCCGTGCGTCCCTCCGAAAGTTCCGTCGCTGGGGCTCTAAATCTGACATGGGTAAGGCAGAAGGAAAACCTTCGCGCCTCCCACCCCCCTCCGGGGTTTGCCCATCAATAGCAGATTGTGACAAATCTTCGTTGTGCGCCATTGATTTCAACTAAGGAGAAAAACTCGATCAAAATGTTTTGTTCTCTGCGGTATTCCTACAGACGGCGCCAATTGTACGAGCACGAAATATTCTTCTCGCATAATCTTGTTGATCAAGTTTGCTATTTCTCCAAACGTCGTCGCTTTGCTTCCTGAAAACACAAACATGAGCTAGCCGGCAGGTGTGTGCCGGATACCTCTCCGATGCCTAAGTCAGCAAATAGACAATAGAAAAAAAGCTCTGTGTTTTAGAGGATAAAGATTGTGATACCTGTACATAGGTCCTACTATGAGCTTTTATAGATTCCGCTTGACACAATCCTAGTAGGATTCCAACTCTCCGTATAAGAATCCTTCTAGGAATCACACACCCTACTCACTACTAACCAGGTGAGATGCTTTGCACAATCCTAATAGGACTCTACTCTCCTTAGTAGAGCCCTTCTAGGAGTCTCAAGCTCAATGAAGAATGTCTATTATCGCAACACTCTGCTTTCCACCAACCAAGTAAGATGGTTACCTCCTTTGTTTAGGTTGCTGCGACCTAACTGAGCTATATTAGCTCGGTCACACACTCAAGTAATGACATAGATCGCATTCGGCCGAGCTACACCAAGCTCGGCATCCTTTATTATCAATACCTCGGCTAACCACTAAGCCCACTTATTTAAGTAGCTCGGTTCAAAGTACCTCTGCCCAACTTTCATACAACATGGGACCGAGCTGCTCGAAGCCCATACTTCGGTTCAGAATACATAGACTGAGCTAACAGAAGTAAGGTCTAATTGAGAAGTCCTTTTTCACTACGGCCCCACAGATCGATCCATTACTATGTCTGAGCCTAGCTCGATCCTAGTTCACATAAAATCTCCCTCTCAGTATATATATATATATATCATGTATTTACTTTTGTGATTGAATTTTATATTCATAAATTTATTAATAAAAAAATTACTAATGAGTTGCTAATAATATTTAAAGCAAAATTCTATTATACTAGTTTTTTTGTGCAGCCATGGCACTTTTGTAAATAAAATATATTTTGATGGATTTTAAATTTTAAAATGATTGGTTTATAATTCAACACATCATTAATATATATATTTTGCATATATGTTTTGTTTGTATATTATTTATCATATTCAAATATTAAAAATCGTTTGTAAAATACTACTAAAAAAGAAGATTTGTGGTGACATTAGCTGCTATTAGAGACCAACAACAAAACTTTTACAATTAATTAATTTGTGAGAGAATAATATAAAGCGACAAAAAGCAAATCGTGAAAAATGAAAGCATAAAAAAAAAAAAGTAAATACAAACGTAAAATAGAAAAAATTGTATAAAATAAAATAATAAAAAAAGGTGAGAAGGGTATTTTAGCCCCTTTAAGAAAAAAAAAATTATATAATAAAATATATTTATTGTCTTCACAACTTTTATAATAATAGAGGTCATTTATGTTATTAAATGCATTATATATTTGAATAATACTATATATACCAATTAGTATATTAATTAGCGTATCAATTGATGATATCACATAATTTAAAAGGTTTTTAATAGAGGTGGGAGCGGGTCGGTTGCGGCCACGGAATCTCCAATCCGCCATCCATCCGTCAGATTGGCGAATTAGAGAAAATCAATCCGCATCCGTCCGTCAATCCGACGGATGCGGATTAAGCGGATTAGCGGTTTGGCGAATGAATACGAATCGATTTGGTGGTTTGAAATTTTATAAATTTTCAACATAGTTCAATTTGTGCACTTTCTCAAAAAAAAATATATATATATATATATATATTACAGTCAATAACTTAAAAAAGTATTACAGTCAATGACTTAAAAAAGTATTACAATTACTGCATGCCTCATCCAAAGAAAAAAAGTTTGAAATTTTAGAATATCACAATCACTGCATGCCTCATCTACATATTACAATCACAGCATGCCTCATCTACATAAAATATTACAATCTGTGGTTCTTAAAATATAAAAACAATTCAAACCACTAAAATCATGAACAGAGCAATAGTACAGATTGCATGTCTCTGTATTGTTAAATTTATATATGTTTTTGAAAATAAAAACCAACCAGCATATATCATATTTTCTATTTATTACTTTTAGAGTTAGATTTAAAAACTAAAAAATATAGATAAATAATACGTTTATTTTTTTCAATTCAAAAAATATATTCAAGTTGAAAACTTTTTTTAACAGAATATTTGAACTCTTTTTCAATTGAAAACACAAACACAATATTTAAACAAATTGAAACACAAAGTCTTATATATTACTAAGGGTGCTCGCGGTTTGGCGGTTCGGTTGCGGCCAAAGGAACCTCAAATCTGCCATCCGTTCACCAAATTGGCGGATTGAAGAAAATCAATCTGCAACCGTTTACTCGTCATCATGCATCCGTAAAAAATGTGGCGGATCGGTTCAGTTTGGTCGATTTTGGCAGATCGGCATATCCGCTGCTCACTCCTAGTTTTTAATATTTGTAATGTGATTAATGAGTAGGGTCAATAATAATATCATAACTAGTATTGGTACACTAGTTAGTATACTAATTAGTGCATGTAACACCACCGTATATATTTTGCACTAATTAGTGTACTAACTAGTGTACCAACATTAGTTATGACATTATTATTAACCACATTCATTATACAAATTATAAATATCAAAAATATATTAAATTATATCACATTTTCAATTGATATACTAATTAAAACATTAATCCATTACAATTAGGTTGGGAATCTCTAAAAGCCAAAGCCCCCTCATAAATTAATAATAATAAAAGGCAAAGAGCTCCGGGAAATGCAACAGTAGGGTGCACATGATATGAAATTTATCATAAAAATGGATAATTTTATCCCAAAATTTTATAATATCAATCATAAAATATATAATCTCAATACAAAATGTATAATCTCATTATAAATTGATAAATAATTTTATTATGTAAATTTGTGACGAAATTACACATTTCTATAATAGGTGCTTACAATGTGCACCCGTAAAGGGTTGCATTGTTGCACACCATAGCAATTTTAAGATGAAAAATGCTCCCGACCTCTAAACCTTCACCACTAAATTAGCACTAATGACGTGGCTGGCTTACGTGGAAAACAGATACAAACTCGCCCATTTCCCCCTCCTTCTTATTATTTCAAAATTCCAATTCATTTTGAACACACAATACATTTGAAGACACTCTCTATTCTTCCTTCTCTTCTCTGTTGTGCCTCTCCTTGGCGACCTCCTGCAACCCGATCGGACGAGTGCGGCTCTCCAACCCCGGCGACGACGCAGCTTCTACAACCCCGGCGACCCGACGAGCGCAGCTTCTGACGACCAACGACGACCGAGTCTCTCTCCGTCTTCGCACCGGACTCGCTTCTCTCGACTCTCCGTGTTTTCTCGACAGATCTGTGTGCACAAGTCAGTGAAATAATTTCTCTCTCTCTCTCTCTCTATATATATATATATATGCCTTAATTTGTTGAAAACAGATTGTGACTTTGCCTTTGATTTCACTTTGATTTCATCTATATATATATATATATGCCCTAATTTGTAAAACACAGACTGAGTTGAATTCATAGTAATGAGATTTTCATTTGTCTTCTAAATTCAGCCATCCAAATATATCAGAAGAGAAATTAATAGATAATGATTTAAAGATTGCTGATAGTGTGTAACTTGAAATAAATTTGAATGTGTATTTTTCTGACTCAATTTTTTTGGATGTGTAACAGGAATTATGGACATTGAGATTCACTTTCTCCAAATTAAGTTCACAGCTATTGGAGTTTACTTGGACTCTGAAATTGTGGGACATTTGCAGCAATGGAAGGGCAAAACAGGAAAGGACCTAACTGAAGATGATGACTTCTTTGAGGCCCTCATTTCTGGTATGATTTTCAGTTCTGCTATTTAAAAAGTAACATTATATTCATAAATCTTAGTTATTGTTAAGAATTTCTATTATACTTTATAAGATTGTTATGAGAATATGATTAGTCTTAAGCTTCCAGATTCATTAAATTGGTCAGAAAATTTGATGTCATGATGGTAAATTCAACATTGCTAACACTTTCTTGCTAAAAACATGGATATGCAAAAATATATGGTTTTATATAATTATGATATGTCATTATGTCATATATGAATATATCATTCACAAATAAAATAATAACAATAAAGTGAAATCTAAAATTATTTTCTATAAGTCTGTATTAATTTTCTTTTATCTTTGTATCCTAAAATAACTATTTCAAACTTTATAGTATTAGGTGTTTGAGGACAAGCTAAAAAAGTCAACTTTTGGCTTTAAAAAAATCAAAAAGTCGCTAAATTGTTTGTCATCAACTTAAAAATGCAGATATTACATGACTTTTTCACACAAAAAAAACTTGTTTAGCAACTTCCCAAACTCATTAGCTGTTTTAGCTCCTAAGAAAGTTAAAAGGCCATTAGTTTCATTTGTGTCAATCAATGAATTTGTATGTTTCCCCATGTGTTTGAAGAGTGTCTTGTAAATAATTTTTAACAATAATTGGATGCATTTAGACAAGTGCCCGACCAATACATGTCTGGAAGTATCTGATGAGAGTCTCTATCCAACACAAACACGACACCGACGCACCACTTTTTAAAAAGTGTCTGTGCTTCTTACCTTTTCTGATAGTTGCTTTTGAGTTAATGTTACCTTAAGGTCTCAGTTTTTACGAAATTGGTTCTTGGCCATGTGATTGAAGTTGAACTCTTTTTAATTCAAATTTGCAGCACCAGTTGAGAATTTCTTGAGAGTTGTGGTGATTAAGGAGATCAAAGGTTCTCAGTATGGAGTGCAGCTAGAGAGTGCAGTGAGGGACCGATCAAAGGTTCTCAATTTGGTTCACTAAATGTGAAATAATATATACAATCAAACCTTTACGAACCAACAAGGGAACACAACTAAAATTACCTCAAAAGGATGTTTCAGGTCTCCAAAACCATTCAGTTTGTCGTATACAAAGTAAAGTAGAGAAACAATTCTGGATAAAATGGAATAATATTCAGAAACTACAAAGTGAAAATTAAAAATAAATAAATGAATAAGCTTTTCTGTAATATGTTCAATCTTCAATGTGTCTAATATGTGCCCTAAAATTCATTTCAGATGCAAAGAGCATATCTCCTTGAAAAAGTCAGTTGCCCCTCTCATCTTTCAAATGTTTCTATTACATGCTTCCATTTGTATTGATTTATTAGAATTTCCAGTCCAAACATTTGATAACTGTTCTAATAAAAAACAAAGCTTGTGGAATTATTACTTATTAAACAAAATAATAGGGATTTATGTATCTTTGATGACTGATTTATTCATTATTTAACATAAATACTTTTGACATTTGTGATGAAATGACTTTTGATGGACAAAACAGTATTTTGTATGTTGAGAACAGTGTAACTTATAGACTGAGTAAGTTTTTTCATGCTGAAGTAGGTTTAACCTAACCATATCCAATCTTGACTTGTTATATTTTTTTGCAAGTTCAAGCTTGGTGTTACATCAATGTAGGACTGCTTTAGGGAACTTGGGCTATGCTGCCTATATTAGGTATTACGGTGGGTTTTGGTTTCGAAATGTAGATTTGTAGGTGATAATGTCAACTTCATATTTCGCTTCATATTTTTGCAGATGTCAACTTCAAGTGTTAATTCACAACGTAGGGAGTAAGGGCAAGTGCGAATGGACAATACACCAACTGTCACCGAACAACTTCAAAGTGTAGGCGAACATCTTCGATTTCAAAGCGAACAACATCAATTTCAGAACGCGCAGATGCAAAAATTACAAAGGGGCATAAATAGAAATTCGTGTTGTATTAATGGGATCTTCATCTTGCTTGTAATTGATGTTATATTAATAATGAAGATGTAATAATTTGTATTCAAGTTAGAACATGTAATTGGTGTTGTATTAATTATAAAGATGATATGTATGAAGCTTTATGATATATTACAATTATGGATTAAGAAGTATGAATATGTAATCATGTGGATTGTTTGTTATCTGCTTGGAACTTTGAAAGTTATTTGTTTGTCTGCTTGAACACATATTATGAACATATTTTGGACAGATTTTGGACAGATTTTAGGCTGATTTCGGACAGATTTTGGTCTGATTTCGGACTGATTTTGGGCTGATTTTCGACATATTTTGGACTGATTTTGGGTTGATTGTAGGCTGATTTTGGACAGATTTTGGGATGATTTTGGACTGATTGTAGGCTGATTTTGGACAGATTTTAGGCTGATTTTGGACTGATTTAGAACATAGATTCTGTTTATCTGGTGCTTCACAGATTTTTGCATACATTGTTGTGTATTTGAACATACATTGTTGTGTATTTTAACACAGGTGCTTCACAACTTTGTCTTCATTGTTAACACAGATAATTGACAGATTGTGAACACAATTGAATCACATTGTTGACAGATTTGGACACATATGGACATAGGTTCAACACATTTTCAACACAGATTTGGACACATTGACAGATTGACAGGTTGTTGAAGACAGATTTTTGCACACAGGTTTTTTAACACAGTTTTGAAGACAGATTGTTTGAACACTGGTTTTTCAAACACTGGTTTTTCAAACAATTTTGAAGACATTTCTGCACACAGGTTTTGCAAGACAGATTCAAATACAGGTTTTGATTCACATTGTTTCACACAGATTTTTTCAACACTGGTTTTTCAGTGTTGAAGACTTTTGTTTTCACACAGGTTTTCCAAGGCAGATTCGAAGATAGGTTTTTTTCACATAGTTTTGAACACAGATTTTTGTACATAGGTTTTTGAAGAAAGATTTTTTGAACACTGGTTTTTCACACAGTTTTGAGAACATATTTTTTCCACACTGGTTTTTCAAGATAGATTTGAAGACAGGTTTTTAACAGATTTGTAACAGCTTTTTTCACACAGATTTGGAACACATGTAGTAAATAGAGCACAAATATAACAACATCAATTGGGAACATTAACTATAACAACAAAGTAGGGAACAACATCAATTTGTTCTCAACCAAAAAATAAAGAAACTGAACAATCCAAAAATATATTAAATAAATTATCCAAAACAAAATAAAATCCAAGTTTAGTCACATAAAAGGCATTACAATTACAAGTTTCCAACTAACGAAAACTACCGCCACGGTCATTGTGGTTCATTTGTACATTGAAGTCAACAAATGAAGATGGTACAGCTCCATAAATTTGATGCGTAGCAGTCATGGATTGTTGAGTTCTCGTAAATCCCGGTGTGCCTCCAATACAGTCCGACGGGGTAAGCGATGTGCCAACTCCATAAATCTGAGTTGGGGGATTTATGAAACTTTGTCTTCTCATAATGTCCACACTTGCCGGGGTGAGAGATGTGCCTCCAATAGCATTGACCATGTGTCCCTATTCAATTAAAATGAAATGTTAAAATAAATTGGAGAATAACATAAATTGCTCAATGTAAAATCCTATGATGTATACGTACCGGCACACACATATTATTTTCCATGCCAACCACATAAGGATAAAGCTCTCTACGTACACTACATTCAGGTTGAGATTGACATTGACCTTCACCTTCACCTCCAAGCACCTTAGTACCCTATATTCATAAAAGTTAATGAATGCCTCAAATGTATGACATGATTACAATAAAATATGAGTTGAATAGAGAGTAATGAATACCAATTTACCTTTGATTTGTTATGTTTTCTTTTGCTTGCCTTCAACCGATTCACTATTTGATCTACTTTGGCAACCTTTCTTTTAGTAACTGGACGACCTTTTCGCCGAGCAACCAAAGGACTAGCTTATCCAGATAACACATTTTGTAATTAATAATATTAAATTCTATGATAAAATTACATATTTTTATAGTGTACACCTGTAAAGGGTTACATTGTTGCACACCATAGCATTTCCGCCTTGGCGTTTTTAGATAAATTCAGTTGGGATTTGTGGCCTTATTTTGGGGTTTATCTCGGCTATCTATTCATTTTTTAAAATGATAAACTATTTATGAATGATTTATTTTTAAAATTATATTTATTATTTATTTTTTAAAATAAATATTAATATTAAATTATTTTAATTTTTTAAGATGGTAAAACTATTTATAAATGATATATTTTTAAAATTATATTTATTAGTAATCTTTTATAAAAATATACTTTAACCATATAAATATTAATATTAAATTATTTTATTTAATAAATTTTTGAAAATAAATGTTAACCAAAACGGTTCCAATAATAAGTCCAACTGCTTCCCTTAAGTCATGCCCAATATAAAAGGGTAATCGGTGGGAAGGGAAAAAGGAAAATATTATAGACTCTAAGCCTGTGTTTGGCAAGTGGGTTTGCAGGCTTTTTTGGCTATTTTAGTCACAAAAAACAAAATAGGTTATTTTAGCCATAACAAACAAAACATCACATCCAACCCATAATCATTACATTCTTCTCTCACAAAAAAACTTAAAAAAGCCAAAAAGCCAAAAAGTCCTTCCTAAACCAAGCTTTTAAGCCCAGGCTAAAATAGCCAAAAAAGTCAAAAAGCCAAAAAGCCAACCCACTCCCAAACGGAGGCTAAATAATTTATTAAATTTTTTATCAAATTTTTTATATGGGTGTGAGATTCACACAAACCTACATATGTGTGAGTTTTACATTCATATGAAAGGTTTGGTAAAAAAATTGATAAATTATTTAGGGTCCCTAATATATTTTAGGGAAAAATGAAACAGAAGAAAAGGACCTACCAATTAAAAGAAAGTTGCAATTAAAAGTGTGAACATGCGCAATTATCAAACTTTTTCCCACCTAATCAACAGACCATATCCTTAATGTTGTGTTTGATCGGAGATTTAAGAAATGATTTAAAATAAAAAAAGAAAATGTGAGTGAAATATAAATAAAATATACTTATATTTCACTTAGTTTTAAATACACATTTTTCTTTCATTTTTTTAAATTTTTTCTCAAATTCTCTAATCAAACACAGTGTAAGAATATATTCCTAAAATCTAGTACTTATTAAAAAGAATAAATTTTAGAAATTTTGTTCATGTGTATCACTACTCTCCCTGTTAAGACATTAAAAAAATTATACACTTTTATTGCATTTATTTTTATTGTACATGGCATGAAAATTTGGTGCAATAAATATTGTTTACTTCTTTTAGACTTGGTTAACATTCCATCTAAAAGACTTGGTTAACATGTGCCCTAACGTACATATTAATAAGGTCTTAAAATTTATTTGATATTTTTGGAATCTTTCAATATAAATATATATTTTTTTTAAACGTAAAATGTCATAGCTTCTTATAATTGTTTTATTTTCAATCAAAATATTCACTATTATTCTCATAATTTTAGAAAAGTCACTGATATGTCATTTTGAATATGTTTTTTTTTGTATAAATTTCTATTTACAAATTATTTTCCTATCTTTTATGTTTAAAATATCGACACAATAGTGATGAGTTCTATTGTTTATTGGAGTAGGTCTTGTTTGGAAACATGTTATTTTAATAATTTTTTGATTAAAATACGAGATAAAAAAATGAATATGTTTGGAATGACCTCTTTTTTTTTGAAAATATGTGAAAAAGTAGAGAGAAAATGAAAATTTTGACTTTTTGGTGTAGGTAATAGATTTTTTGATTTTTAAACTAAAACTGTTGCATACCAAATGAGGTTGGCCTTGTTTGAAAAATTTGTTATTTTAGTAGATTATTTTAATTTTTGACTTTGGGACCTGCAAAATTTGTGTCCCTCTCACAACCTCTAATTGATTTATGATCACTTATTATTTATTTATTTATATTTTTTCCTTCTCTCTCACACAAATGTGTGTGGGGTGTGGGGGTCCTTGGGTCTCTATCACAGCTGTTTGTGTGGGGTGTGGGAGTCCTAGGGTCTCTATCACAACTGTTTTAATAAGCTAAATATTTATATTTAGAAAGATAGTTAGATTTTTTTTGTAATTAGATGTAATGTTTTTAAGAAAAAAAGTAAAATTATTATGAATTTGATATGATATTTTATATGATTAACTATTTTATTTTATTTTATCTTTTTATAAATTTTAGCCAAAAAAAAAAACAAACAAACCTTGGCTTCCCAAACAACCCTTTGTGGTAGTTGCTTTTGGAATTGGAATGTCCTTTTGAATTCTGAATCTGTGTTTCTATCTTATGTTTTTGTGTTTCAACAATGATAGAAAGTTCTAATTTTATAATTCTAAATAGAATTTTAATGATGTGACAAGAGAAAATAAATAAATAAATAAAAATATAGACACACACATCACATCACATGTGGATCTCACTCCTTATCACATCACTAGAACTCTTTTTAAATTTTTATTCTTTGTGTTTTTGTTTTTTGTTTTTTGGTACCATGATTCATGGGTTTTTTTGGAGGCGAATTCTGACTTCCTTTTCCTGATCCTTTCCAATTCAGTACTATAGGCTTGACCTTTTATTTTCTTTTATGTGTGAACTTAGTAGAAAAATTTATTGGAAATTTCCTAAAATTGCTCACTAGGCCTACTTTTCAATTAAAAACAACTTGTTTGGTACATATTTTTATTTTTTATTTTGTTTCTTAAAAATTAAAAACCAAAAAATATTAATAATTTTACATATTTTGAAAAAAATAAAAACACAAAACAAAATATATCCTTACTTATCCTAAAATAAATTTTCATTCATTCTTTATCTCTAACAATTCTCTCCTCTCTCAAATCGCACTCTTCAACAACCCCTCGTCACTTTTGTTGCTCTCCTTCTCTTGACAACTAAAAAATTATTTTTTCATTTTTAGTTTTGTTAATTCAAAAAATATGTCGAATCAAACATATTATTATAATAATGGATAACTGAAAGTTGACATTATAAAATCACACTTTTGACATTATAAAAATGGAAAAAAATTAAAATAACTCACAATATTTTTCATTTGGCAGGCATATGTGTTGGGATTGGGCAAGCAATCATTGTTGATGACTCGAAAAGTAATCTCCATTGAGACCCACATGTGCCAACTGGAAATGACAGCAATTTTGTTCACTTTTTGCTGTTAGAAAGTGTTACGCAATTTAGGATCAACAATAAAAAAAATTTATGAATTTTTTTTATAAAAATAATTATAAAAAGTTTGTAATTTTAAAATTATATTTAGAATGAAGTATCACATACTAATTAAGGTAATTTAAGAATCATAAATTTTTCATGATTATTTTTATAAAAAAAATTTTTACGATCCTTAACTTTTCTCATTTAAGATAAGCTCTAATCACACCAACTTGACCATACAACATCTTAATTAGAGTCTCGATCTACTCAACTTGTACTTTCTCCTTCTCACTCGTGTTTATGTCACCATTCTCTCAACTTCTAGATTTGAATACAGTTGTTTTAAAGTTTCAAAATTAAAACTCTTAATTTGTATTCTTTGTATTTTTGTTTTTTGTTTTTTGGTACCACGATTCATGCGTTTTTTTGGAGGAGAATTCTGACTTCCTTTTCCTGATTCTTTCCACTTCGGTACTATAGGCTTGACCTTTTATTCTCTTTTACGTGTGAACTTGGTGGAAAAATTTATTGGAAATTTCCTGAAATTGCTCGCTAGGCCTACTTTTCAATTAAAATCAACTTGCTTGGTACATATTTTTATTTTTTATTTTGTTTCTTAAAAATTAAAAACCAAAAAATATTAATAATTTTACAAATTTTGAAAAAAATAAAAACACAAAACAAAATATATTCTTACTTATCCTAAAACAAGTTTTCATTCATTCTTTATCACCAACAATTCTCTTCTATGACAAATCGCACTCTTCAACAACTCGTCACTACTTCTACTGTTCTCCTCTTGACAATTAAAAAAATATTTTTTCATTTTTAGTTTTGTTAAGTCAAAAAATATGTCGAATCAAACATATTATTATGAAAATAAAAAATTGAAAGTTGACATTATAAAATCACACTTTTGACATTATAAAAATGGAAAAAAATTTAAAATAACTCACAATATTTTTCATTTGGCAGCCATATGTGTTGGGATTGGGCAAACAATCATTGTTGATGACTCAAAAAGTAATCTCCATTGGGACCCACATGTGCCAACTGGAAATGACAGCAATTTTGTTGACTTTTTGCTACTAGAAAGTGTAACGCAATTTAGGATAAGCTCTAACCATACCAGCTTGACCATATAACATATTAATTAGAGTCTTGGTCTACTCAATTTGCACTTTCTCCTTCTCACTCCTGTTTAAGCCACCACTCTCAACTTTTAAATTTGAATACAATTGTGATAGGGACCCTCACACATACACGACCTTTATAATCTTCAGTCTCATTCCAATCACTGATAATGTGGAGTTCACACATATATGAATGAACTCTACATACACATAAAGGGCTAAGATCAAATTAGGGGTCATATAACCCAAAAAAAAGAGTCCCAAACATTTTTGATTTGAATATTCATTGTTAGATACCATGGTCATGTTAGATTAGGCATGTTTGTGAAAGATAATCTTACAATGGCAATGGATCGAAGTCCCCGTAAGGGTATTTATCACGCAGAGAAAATACAATCCAGAAGAGACAAAATTCAGAGAGAAATAAAATAGTTGAACAACCATTGTAGTGAGGCCATATATTTATAGTTTACATGGTGGCTTTTGATCAATAGTTGCAAACATTCAAATTGCAATGTCAATCCAACAGTCACCATGTTTCCAATCATTGTGACTGTTCATTTCAAATTCAAAACTTCCAGTTGTATTTCTTCCTG